GCCGAACGGTTCATGAACGGTTCGCTGAACATTCGGTTCGTTTACAGCCCTATCAGTACTATAAAAAACATATTTTTTGTAATTATTTTTAAATGTATATTATACTATATTTATTATATGGTGCCACCGTTTGAAAAAAAAATTTGGGTCCGTCCCTGCTTTAACTCATCTTACAGCATTATAATAAAAATTGATTTTATAAAACGTTTGCATATCTAAGTGTCCTAGTAAAATACTTTATAAAATTTAAGTTTATAGGACTAAACTATAAATTGTCTTATCTATGTTACAATAAGTTTATAAAAGACTTGTGGACATTGTAACAAGTTCTTTAAGAACTTTTTTAAAATAAAGGGATATATTAGCTAGTTTACAGGACAGTTGTGTATATATGAAATTTTTGAAATAGTATTCTATAAAATAGTTAATACAGCCCTTTATTTGAAAAATGACTTAAAAACTTGTTGAAAAAACTAAAGCATCTTATAAATCTATTGTAACATTTTTAGGCAAATTGATTACTGATTCGGTTGAAATTATAGAACATTCTTTGGTTTATTTCTACAAAATTAAATCCTATAAAATATTTTCTTAGGAGTTAGGACATTCAAATATTTTTGAACGTCCTATAAAATCAATTTTATTATAATATAACTCATGAAGTTATAATCAAACAAACGTTTCAATAATTATAAAAAATGTTTATTTTATTTTAAAAATCATCGATATTATTATTTATAAGTTTAAGCATTGTTGTGGTCAATGTTGTTTTTGACTTTTGTACAACTCTCGCTCTCAAATCGTTTGTAGAAACAAGTTATTGTTTGTCGTGGAAATCACATACAGCGCCAAAAATCTTGTCATCATGATGGACGCAGGTCAAAACGCTGGCGACCATAATCTTACAAATACAATTTCGCCCCTCAAACATTAATACATCTACATTTTCGCCCTTATTGTCTTCAATTATTACTTTCTCATCCCATCAAAGGTTATTTTGGTTTTGTTGATCCACTGCACCATCAATTTCAAACAGTAGAAAACAAATCAAGAAAAGTATATTGATTTTTCTTTTTCTTTTTCTTTTATCTTATATATTTTGCTTTGCATGATTGAATTTGGTGAACATTTTGAAATAATTAACTTAGGATTCTTTGCATCTTGAATAAATAATTTTTTTTTTAAAAAAACATTTATTTTATATTTTATTAGTCCTATTTTTTGGCTAACAACTGATATTTTGAGAACAAAAAAACAATCAACATGTATTACACAGACTATTATTTAAAAATAAATGAATCATATATTTTTCATGTTAGACTCAGAAAAAAATATATATAAATAAACATATCAGCAATTAAACTGATATTTTTTTCCTACTCAAATAAGTGTATTACATGTTATATATGTGTATTATTTTTTAGTGAACAGATATAATTAAGAATTAATCTTTTATGACGTCAACAATTTATCGAAGCTTCGGTATCTAGAAGCAATTGACATTATAACTTTATATGATTTGTCTTTTATAGTTGAACGATCTACAAAGATTCTCCAACCGCATTCAATTGATTTTGACAATTAATCATGATATTTTGTACATAACCCTCAAAGTTTCCAATTTCACAAATCAACCACAGGTTATGTGTCGATAGGTCAAATTATAGGGGCCAATGAATGGTGGTTTCCAAATGTAACAGTTACACTGACACCCACCAATAATATGTCGTGTTACATGTGGGTACACAATCAATCAATTATTGCAAATTGAACACAAATTTATGGTTAAATAAACATATACCAGTTTCACTTTAATTTAAATACTTTTATTTTAAAATAATATTTAATTCTAAAGAAAAATAAAAATAGAATAAGTTGAAGAAAGAAATATATTATATTAATGGTTGAAAACATTAAAGAATTACAAGATTCACATCTAAAAAGGATTCTAGAAGGAGGGAAAAGGGACACCCCCAATAATTTGAGGCTTTTGTCATGGACTGATTTAAAAAGTTCAAAGGCCTTATGCTTTCTAGATTTTTGTAATCAATGAGGTCACTGTAGGTGTAAGATTGGGTTTTCTTGAAAATAACTCCATTCAATTTCTTTCTTTTTTTTTTTTCAAACAATCTAAACACCATTTACTAAATACTTACTTGGTAAGCGTTTACTGAATAAATTTCATCATGAGAATAACAAAAAATCTTACCGGGTAAGAGCGACGTGAGAATGACGACTCTTACCCAGTAAATTGTTGCATTCGATATGTTTTGATGTACTAAAAGCTTACGCACCAAAATAAATCATAGTGTTGACTCATAACCTACAATTTAAAACCAATTTCAACTCCATTACAAAGGAGCCTTAGTGAAGATGATTGTTGATCTACAAGAACTCCAAACACAAAAATGAAGGTTTAAGATGGCAAACTAGAATATATCAATAAATAATGTTTCCCAGTTTAGATATGGTTTTCAAGATAAAAGAAAAAGGCAAAAAGGGTTGAAAGAAGGAGAGCAACTGTGAGTAGTTGTTGATAATGAAGCTACAAAATATTACCATTAACCACTTTCACTTGATGAACCAAAAGAATCCAACTAAAAACTACACAATCTGCATGCTAAAAAAAAACTAGAGCTCCATCAATGGCACTTTTGAAAGAGAGGGCCAAAGAAACATATATAAAACCATAATGCTGTCTTACTACTGTTTTTTTATTTCAATGGCATCGGTCTGACCTTCCGGTTTGAGAACCTCCTGAGTCCAGATCTTAACTGTTTTGTCGTTTTCAAGGGCCCCTGAAGCGATCATGTTCTCGGTTGGGTGACAAGCAACTGTTATCACAGCATCCGTGTGACCTTCCAATTTCTGGACTATTTTTCTTGTCTGAAGTTCCCATAAGTATACGCAATTGTCCTCCGAACCACTGACAATGTATTTGCCGTTGGTGATGGAAAATGCTGACGAGATGCAGTACTTAGAGTTGGTGTGGCCAGTGTAAGTCTTCAAGAACTTGCCAGTTGAGAAGTTCCATAATCTCTGCATCAAGAATATCACAAAATAAGAGGACATTATTTTACAAAACAAAGTAGTGAACGAATTAATTCGTTCATGAGCATCACATGTGCATCATCCAAGTCATCTGGTATAGGTTTTATCAAAGAATTTACTTTATTTACATATATATATATATATATAGGCGAAGGATCATGTGAGAAGGAGAGTTAAGATGAAAAGCGTAAGAAGGAAATTGGACCCTTGATCACCTTTAATACCAAACCTACCCATGAATGCGCTTGATATGGGGATTGATCCGGTTGGTGCATGTGATCTTAGTGCATCTCATCCTAATGTGCATCCAAGGGTGTAGATCCCTTCTTATGCTTCTCACCTTAACTCTTCTTCTCACCGGAATCCAACCCAATCAAGACGAAGGATCGTGTGAGAATAGGAGTTAAGGTGAGAAGTGTAAGAACGGATTTGGACCCTTGATCACTTTTAATTAGTGTTGATCTAATGTTTTGTATCAAGTCCCAAAATAACCCATGAATTAGCTTAGAAGGATATTTTCAATTGATCTTCAATTAGGATTGATTCAACGGTAGAGATCTCTTCTTACCCTTCTCACGAAAACTACTTTTGATATACATACATGTAACATGTGTGTATCACCTCCTTTTTCTCCAAGACCTCTCCCTATACAAATAGTGCTTAACCCCTAACCCACAATGAACCAAGAAATGATATTCTGTATTTTTCTCTCTTTTCTCTGGGAATCTTCTCCTGGAGCTCTCTTCTCTTTCTTTTCATCTTATCATACTTTTCACTGGAAGAATGAAATCCTAGTTGTGTCAACACGATTAAGAAAATAATATCACAAAGTAAAGCACAACAGAAAGACTATCGGTCTTTATTTTATTTGTTTAACCGCATTATAGAGTAGTTCTTTTTATTGTCAATGAATGATATAGCCAATCCTTATAAAATGGTTTAATCAAGTCTTTTTCGGATTCTTGCCATTTGTGAGAGTGAGCTTATCATTTTTAATGTGTTGTATTATTTGTTTGTGAATCAGGTGTAGTGGAGTTCCTGAACGAAAAACTATGTTTGCATGAACCTGTTCATAGTTAAAATTGATTTCGTATGAAAAACCCTATCATAAGCTGAATAGGAAAACATAAGATATAGATTCTAGTATTTTTTTTGTTTTTCGTTTATGCCAAACTGAGAGGGAGACTTGAGTATAAGGGATTCCACGACACTCGAGGCATCTTGGAGAGTGAGAAATAGACAATCAAGTCAATGATTTCCAAGGTAGTTAACTAGATCCAACAATTTGAAAGTTAACGGATTAGGGAATTACCGTTGTTGATGAACATTTGACAAAGTTAAGCATTGCCTATGACTTTGTGTAGGCAGTAGATCTCATAGCTAGAGGTTTAGGTGAAATAGGAACCCTAACAACATCCGTTTCAAATTTGCATGGATCTCATACCTTTGGTATTACTCGATACCGAACTCATGTGTTGGACTATCTGGTTGCCAAATTCAATGGTGTCTCATTATTGAACAAACCTTCCTCACCCACCAATTCAATTATGCTCATACATTAACACTAATGATTGGAGATATCATTATTTCTTAATTGTTTCCAGATACAGCATTCATTAGGATATTGCTTTACTTTTTGCCTATATTCAAACACGAAACAGGAGCTTCTAAGTGTTATCTTGGGCATATTCAAGGGGAGGAGAATAGCTAAGAGAGGGGAATGTCAACAGAGAAATGTAACTCCAATTAAGCATGCTCCTTTCAATCAGCCCCAGCATCTACAATCCTTTTAGGATATGCCTTGTAATTTCTCATAATCCCTAAGTCGGTAGATTTATTTTCACTTAGCCATTTTTCATAATTATCATCGATTTGGTGCCACAACCCTTTTACATTTCATAATTATCCGGACGGGTGCATTTTAACGGTACCAATGGGAAAGTAAAAGCGGCCAATTATGAGGTGAGAGAAACTCAAAGAGTTTAATATTGACTCAATTCAGAACCATAGCTGAAGGTACACTATGTGAGCAATTCGTAGCAGTGAAACAGGGACGGTTGCCGAGTATAAACTGAAGTTTGTATCATTGGCAGTCCCATTGGACGAAATTGCCGAGGAACCTAAGTGAGCAGTTTATAAATGGACTGGGTCCGGAAATTAGAGCGGAGGTGCAGCTGTATGCTCCGGTTGGACTCAAGTACTCAACAAGACTAGAGGTTGCTTTGTTGGTAGAAGAACGATATAGAACGATTCAGTGTGGAAGAACGTCAAAAGGTATGGCCATCATTCAACGATCTTATAACGGTAGGGGAGAGGGAAGAGCGAATATAGGGGGTTTTTAAAAGAGGGTAAATAGGAGCAAATTCCAAAAATTAACCGACAAAGAACTGCAACCAAAGAGACAGCAGGGACTATGCTATAGATGTGAGGAAAAATACACTCTCAATCACTGTTGTAAGAGGAAAGAATTGAGTGGTGCTAGCAGTGCAAGAGGCAGCAGAAGAGACGGGATGGTGGGGATGAAACGAGTAATGCAATGTGGCAAAGAACATGGGGTAGAGGTGTCGTTGAATTAGGTAGCGGTATTTACTGCTCCCAAAACAATGAATTTAGAAGGATTAATAGGGAGTCAGAAGGTGCTGGTGCTTACTGATAGGAGCATAACACAATTTATTTTCAATTAGGTTGGTCAAAAGGGTGGGACTGTCAATTTGGCCAACAGAAGGATACAACATTTCAATCGGGGCAGGAGATGCAGTGAAAGCACAGGAAGTATGCAAGGGGTGAAGATTTGGATGCAAGGAATTGAGACTCAAGATTATCTCTTACCATGTAATTCTGGGGATTCAGTGATTAGCTTCATTGTGGCCAACGTAAGTGGGCTGGCAAACACAAATTATGAAATTTAATAGGGGAGGAGAACAAGTGAGATTGGAAGGGGATATGTCCTTAGGAAGGTTGTCAGTTTTGCTGAAAGCAATGTTGAAGATGATACGATAAGAGGAACAAGGAATCTTGATAGAATTGAAGCACTTGGAAGAGAACAGCGTAAAACAAGATGATTATCCTGGCGGAGTTTTGGAGGTGTTGAAGACATTTAGGTGCCGTTTACCAAACGCTTACCCGGGTAAGCGCTTACCAAGTCACTTTACTTTACCGGATGAATATGACAAGGACTAAAAATCTTATCCGGTAAGGGCGAAGGCAAGAATCGAGAGCCTTACCCGGTAAGTGAGGACGAGGACTCTTACCATGGTTAGCGCTTACCGGGATAAATTGTTGCATACGATGTGTTTTAGTGAAAAAATCTTACCCGGTAAGTAAGCGATAATGTTGAATTTTACCAGTAAGTGCTTACCGGGTAACTATTTAGGTAAACGGCCCCTTAGTCTGCGTTTGGTACATGGGACAAGATGGGACAGGACAAATATCACTGTCCCATGTTTGGCACGACATGGAACAAGACAAAAAACTCACTGTGCTATGTTTGGCGCGACATGGGACAGGGACAGGGACAAGAACCAGGACTGGATGGGACAAGGATGAGACAGAAACTAAATTACTAATGTACATATAACCCTAATATAGTATTTGTTTTAACGGTCACTGTCCATCATCGTCGCCACGGCCGCCGACGACGACCACCATCGGCCACCTCCCCTACTACAAACCTCCACCATCACCTGCACAACCAATGTCGACCGCCTCCACCATAACCACCACTATCACCGCCCACCACTATATCTTCCTTCAACACGTCAGCCACAACTACCTCATCCACCATTGTCGGCTGCTGCCACCTCCATTGTCCACCATCTTCACATCCGCCACAATTACCATCGTCCACCAAACACTACCGCCTCTACCTCCACCACCATTGTGGTTGCAACTACCTCCACTATGCCTCTTATCCACCATCTTTACATCCTCCACAGTCACTGTTGTCCACCACCATCGGCTAACCGGTACCACCTCTACCTCAACCACATCAGAGACAACTACCTCCTCCTCCGCTACCGACATCCACCATCTTCACATCCTCCACAATCATGTTGTCTACCACTCACCACCGCCTCTACCTCCACATCACCTCCACCAGTTCATAACGATCTTCCAAACCGAATAAAACATAGTTTTTCCTTTGTATGAACCGGGATTTTTCCGAACTACCATTAATTAGATCAAATTCTTCATTCAAATGTGGTATTATTATTATACATGTATGTACTTATGTATATGAAAATTGTTGTAATTGTTTATAAATTGAATTATTTAAATATTACTTGATTTGTGTCCTTTATAACTATTATATGATATACAAAATCGATGATTAAATTTTAGAGGCGACTTGTCTAGTCTTGTCCTATCCAGCCCTAGTCGTACCAACCACCAGACAAACAACTTGTCCTGCCCAGTCTTGCCCAGTCTTGTCCTGTCTAGTCCTGTCCAGTCCTACCCTCTTGTCGTGTCCAGTTCTGTCTACTCGAAGCATGTTTGCATACCAAATGCTATCTTACGTTGTGTTCTCGAAATCTTTTTTACGAAGAAAAGGAAAGGGAGGGAAAGGGGAGGAAAGTAAAAAAAACTCATGTTCTTGAAACTCTTTTAGGAGAGAAAGGAAAGGAAAGGTAAGCAAAATAATGATACTTTCATCCCAATGTGGGAGGAAAAGGAAGGGAAGAAAAGGAAAGAAATAGGAGCCCTTTTAAAAAATTATTAAAATTAAAATATTACCCAATGTTTCATTCTAATGGATATAGTTTTAAAGGGTATATTAATATAAATGGCATCTTTCCTTTCTTTTCTCTCTGTTTAAGAACACGAAAAATTATTTTCTTTCTTTTCTTCTCCTTCCCTTTTGAGAACACAAATAAAAATATTCTTTTCTTTCTTGTCCCTCCCTTTCTTTTCCTTCCATTTCTTTTCTTTTCTCCTCAAATTTGAGAACACAGCGTTAAAGACATATTTCAATGTCCAAAGGGGTTATCACCAAAGCAGGGAAAGGAACATGGCACTGTGTTGATAGAAGGGGTAGAACGGGTGAATATTCGTCCCTACAGGTACCCGTTGTACCAAAATGATGGAATCAAGAAAATAGTGAAGGAAATACTGGAGTCGGGAATCATTAAACACAGTCACATTGCGTTACCAAGCTTGGTGCTTTAAGAACTGGATGTCATGAAATCAGAATGTGCAAGGAGGATATACACAAAATGACATTTCGAACTCATGAAGGGCATTACGAGTTCTTAGTGCTAAGTGGGGGGCAGTGTTGATGCAGAATCAACACATAGCTTTCCATAGTCAAGTTTTGGGAGGTTATCAGGAAGGAGGTAGGGGAGGATATGGTGTTGGGAAAAATTAGGGAGGAATTGTTGGTAGGGACAACATGGCATAAAGGTTTTGTTGTGCGGGTTGTGATGGTAGAAATATCACTTGGTGTCATCTCAAACTCCTTCCTTTTTGCTCCTTTGTCTTGGAACATTTTAATAATTCTCCATTGGGGGACCACTAAGGGGAACAAAGAACTTTATAAGGGGTAGCAGCTATACTATTCCGGATTGGGATGAGATCATATATTAAGAATTTTGTCAGGAGTAGTTCCATTTGCCAGAAAAACAATATTTTGGGTGGCTCACCGGTGAGATTGTTACAACCTCTAGCATTAGCGAAGTAATTTTGGGATGAATTGACTATGGACTTTGTAAAAGATCTACCAAAGTCAAATGGGATGGACAAGACGGTGAATAGGCTAAGCAAGTTTTCTCACTTTATGCCTTCAAAACATCCAGTCCATGCACATCAAGTTGCAACGGCGTTTATTAAAGAGGTTGTACGTTTGCATGAGTATCAGAATCAGTAATTATGGATAAAGACAGGTTTTCTTGAGCCGATTTTGGAAGGAGATTTTTAGGTTACAAGTGACAAAGTTATGTTTCTCTACGGCATATCATCCACAACTGAATGGCCAATCAGAGGTAGTGAATCGTTGCTTAGAACAGTATCTAGGGTGTTTTGTCTCAGATAAACCGAAGTAGTGGCATAGATAGTTGGCGTGGAATGAGTATTGGTATGATACAACATTTCACTATCCACTAAATGGTTTCCCTTTTAAAGCTTTATATAGACAGAAACCGCCAACCAAGGAATTGTTATTGGAAAGGGATAAAATGGATTAATGATGCATTTGATCAGTGCCCAGCAGAAAATGGTTTAGCGGGCCAATAAACATTAAAAGGATGATTCTTTTGAAGTGGAGACATGGTGTTTATCACGACAATACCCCCCCCCCCCAAAGAGTACAGTTTACGTATTATACTCTGTAATTCTCAGATCCCTGACTTCCACCTTGAGGACAAGATGCATTTTGACCTCGCCCCTGGGGGGGTATTGTTAAGCCAAGAATACAGTTCATGTATTCTGCTCTGTAATTCCCACTGTTACTAATACCCTATGTTGATAGTTAAAAACAAAGCTTTCATATTCAATTGGTTTTATCCCATTCTTCTATGCTATGGAACAGGAATAGTAAAAACAAAAAAACGATCATTATTAGTGCCTGTTTGATCATAACTCCAGATTCGTACAAACTCAAGGCGGAACTCTTATGCTAGTTTACACAGAGTACTAATTGCATAGTAAGCAAGTTCAAAATTTTCTCCAAACTACGTAGAAACTCAAGGGATCAGCTAACAAAATCAGTGAAACAAGAACTGAGGTAGGGTATAACAACATCGTGGCAATTGCAGATATCTCATAGATAATTGCTACAAACCTAGAATTACTTCCCTATCTCAAACAATTATTAACCACCCTCCTTAAAACAATCTTTGACACGATCAAGAAAACCATTATCCTACTCCATGCACTCAACCAAACAAGAAATAACACCCCTTCACTACCACTAATCCTTCTCTCTCATATGCATGTGTTTTCTACCTAGATTCATTACATCATCCACACTCCTGATCAGGAACCTTGCATTTTCATGATGAAGTTGCTCATTATTGGCAGTACAAAAACCTATGTTGCAAGGATATGGATATGGGGATGCACTGATGCAGGTGTGTGATAAATTGATAGCGGGATTTAGAGGTACTAAAAATTTGAGGATATGGGGGTGCATTTATATATCTATATACACATAGAGGGAGGTTCAGGAGAAAACCCCCCAAAAAGAAGCTGAGTAACACAGTAGTAACCATTCATCTGGATGGTATGCACATGTGCATACAGGTAATTGAAGTTGTTTCTTGGTTTTTATGCACGTGCGCATGTTATGCACATAGGCATACCGGACAAATTGCTTACAAATTACTTCTATGCACGTGTGCTTATCGTCCAGATTAACGGTTACCAGGGTGTTCCTCAGTTTTTCATTTTTTGTGGTTTTCCCCTGAACCTAACCCTATGTGCATATATTAAGCAAACCTAAAACCATACTCTTAAAAGAAATAAGCTATTTTTTTCTCTTTCACATACATAAGACTTGAGCTTGTCCCTGCTTTTACCCTCTGTTTTTTATTACAGACAAGAATTATGTTACACTAAGTCTATTCTCACACAATTTCTTCAAAGACTTCATACTAAAAAACTGCCAATATCAATTAGAAATCCAAGAACTACCATCATCAAACATTCTATCTTTATCAGAATTTCCTATCTTTTCACAAAAATGTGACCACGAATGAGACTGTAATAAGGCTAAAGCACATATGAATGACCATTAAGGACACATAACATAATCAAAGGATTAAACAATCAGTTCCTATTCAAATTTTAAAGTATAATTGCACGAAGTTTAAAAACACGTCTTTAAGTGTCATAACTGATTGCAGAAAGAAAGGAATAAGAATTCACTCACCAGTGTACTATCCAGTGTCCCTACAAGGATGAACTTTCCATTGGGCGAAAACTTGACAAAGCTAACAGGGGGGTTCTCGTCATCAATCAGAGTCTTCATACAATGCCCTGTGGAGGCATCCCAAATCCTGCACAACCCATCGTAACTACTGGACACGATTAACGTTCCATCGCGATTAAAGTTAACAGCAGTTACGGGATCAGAATGCGCCGGAAGCACCTTCAAGCACTTGCCAGTTTTGACGTCCCAAACCCTAACCGTCTCATCGAAGGAACCGGAGACGATCATGTTGGATTGAGGGTTGTAATTTACACAGAAGACATAGTTTGTGTGTCCCGATAGGGTTTTGACGAGTACGCCAGTGGATACATCCCAGAGGCGGACAGTCTTGTCATCGGAAGCAGTGGCAAGGTAACGAGCGTCGGAAGAGAATGCGACGTCTGAGATTCCTTGTTCGTGGCCGATGAATTCTTGGAGAGGAGATCCATCGGAGGTGGACCAGGTGCGAGCGGTCTTGTCGGCGGAACAGGTGGCGATGAGTTTGCCATCCTCGGAGAATTTGACACTGGAGATGGCACGCTTGTGGCCTGTAAGAGTTTGTTTTAGCTTGTAGGGTTGGGGCATGGAGGTGCTGTTATCGGGTTCTTCCGATGATGCCATTTTTGCGGAGTGGTGGCTGGGCTGCAGGTTTTCCAAACTTGGTATTTGCAACTCTCACCCCACCTCCACACTATGTCAGAATTCCGAGGGAGTAAAATATTGGAACGATAAATATACCAAATTTCGGTCGGCCGGCTGTTTTTACCTGTTAAATTGAATTAATTCCACACATTTCACCAGATTTGTTCCATTATACCCAACGAATTCAATTCCATTTCTATTCTATTCTATTCTATTTTTTAAATAAATAAAAATTATTCATATCTTCTTTACTTGATTTATCCAAACTCATATGACCTCCATCCGACCCATCATCATCGAGATGCCAACCACAACCATTGTGAATCACCGACGACCACCATCGTCATAAAAAGGGTATTTTTGGTCATTTACTGTTTATTCATTCCAATTTCAAAGATACATCCTACCAACTATACAGGTAGATTTTAAATTATTTAACAGATTTCATTCCAATTTATTTCCATCAAATGCAAGATCAAATTTCATTCCAATTTATTTCCATCAAATGCAAGATCAAATTTCATTCCAATTCATCTTAGTCAAATTTTATTTTTTGACAGACTCCATTCCTCTAGAAAACATTTTACGAACCAAATGTCGAGTAAGGTTGTTAGGTGTAGAATGTTTTTGCGTAGGAGCATGTGAGCAAAGTCCACCGAGCATTCATCCAAAGGAACCCATGTAATAAAACTAGTTGTGTATCCGCGCAATGCGGCGGGAGCCATGAATTTTAACGATTTTGAAGTTCCACTGGTTTTATAAGATAAGATTTAACGATGATATATGTTACACTTGGTTTTTACATATTAATACAATTTGAATAAATAAGAGTTATGGTTCCAATTACAGACTATCGATGAAAAAAATTGTATGACAGTTTAAAATCCAATATATTTAAACGACTCCACAAATATGTTCGATTTACACCAAGAGCAAAGAACCAAGAAACTTGAGTTTTAAGATAAACACTCAAAACCAATAAAAAAAAACTACAAATTTGACAGATCATAAGTCAAAGACCAAAAAAGATGGGTTTTAGAATGAAATTTCAACTGCTTACCCTCTTTCTTGTTCAGAAACTCAGATTAAGGTTGAATTAATACATGTATATATATATTTCAAAAAAACCCAAGAACATATTAATTCAAAACATATTATACAGTGCAATTTAGACAGCCTAACCCCAAAATATATAGTATATATATAAATAAATAACTATAAAAGTATAAATCGTAAATATTAAAAATATCTTTTCACAATATATATAATATATAATAATATAATTAAGTCAAAAACTATTCAATATTGGACTCATTTCGAATGTATTAACGAGACGATTATAATGGTGTAACTTGTTAAAATAAAAATGTATTTTTTAAACATGTTTTAATTGATATACGATTATGTATGTTAATTTGATAAAGATTTAAAATGAAACATTTAAAAGTAAAGGACGTAAAATAAATTAATTAATTAATTATAGAGGTATAAAGTGTAAATTTAAAATTATAATTTTAAAAAAAAATCGGTTGTGAGGAGAGGAGGGGGTGAAAAAGTGAGTATAAAGGGTATTTTGATCATTTAGAATTTTAAGACTTTAAGACTTCTGTTAAATTTGCTTAATAAGATATTACAGATATTGTTATTTTGAGCAAAACTTATTACTAGGAACAAGACATCTCAGGAATGACTTGATGGTTGAGGTTAGTGGAAGGTTTTAAGTATGCCTCTGTTTCAAATTTGAACAAACAAAGTCATTTCGTCTTTTGCCCGAAAATGGATGTTTTTATAATAAAGACCAGCCAAAATGGGAAGTGAAGAGCTTTTTTGATTAGATATAAACCTTAAAACCCAAGTACAAAATGGCAATAACTGCTACTCTAAAAGCAATTAAACACATACAACTAGATTAATATACATCTGTTGCATGTTATTGATCATTTCTGTAGCCACTCGCTTCTTTCTTCAACACAACAGATACATTAAAAGTTGGGACCAGCAGCAACAATTTCCTCAGTCAGCTTAGCATCCTTTCCAATTTTGTGGTTCATAAACACCTCAAAATTGTTCTTGAACAGCCCAGCCAACTTCAGCAGAGTCTCCTTATACGCCTTCTTGTTCGACCACTGCGTTTCATCCCACATCAAGATTCGGAACCAAAGATATATATACAATCAATCTTTGAATAAAGAGAGAGATGATGAGCCAACTTACAGTGTTCACTGGATCAAGAATATCTGAAGGCACACCCTCGACCTCCGTTGGGATCTCCAGCCCAAACACTTCGGTTTTCTTGTAGTTTGCAGTCAAGAGTTTTCCGGAATGAATGGCATCTATGATTTTCCTAGTGTATGCCAACTTCATACGGCTCCCAGCACCATAGCTACACACAACAGGGACTCGATAAGCATCTATGGAATACATGAAAAACATTCCGTAACACAGTTATGTTTGTATTTTAGTATTTTACACACCTGCCGCCTGACCAGCCGGTGTTAACAAGCCATCCGGTAGCACCATGTTTCTCCATTTTGGAAGCAAGCATTGCGGCATATTTTGTGGGATGTAACATGATGAATGCTGCGCCAAAGCAGGCTGAAAATGTTGCACGTGGCTCCTTTACACCCTCCTCGGTGCCGGCCACCTAAATATATACGTTTACACGTCAATTTATTTATGAATCCTACAAGCCATGGATTTTGAACCAAGTGAAACTTTAAAGAGTTCATACCAGCGCAGTATAGCCACTGATGAAGTGATACATGGTCTGAGCAAGGTTTAACTTGCTCACTGGTGGGAGTACACCAAATGCATCACATGCCAAGAGAATAACATTCTTCGGGTGTGGACCAACACATGGGATCTTGGCATTGGGGATGTACTCGATGGGGTATGCTGCACGAGTATTCTCTGCATCACAAGGAAAAGGAAGTATGAAAATGGTTTCTTTTTTAAAACAATCTCCATTTCCAGGTCACCTGTCTCTAGAAAAATTCACTGAAACAGCCTATTTACCCCTTTTTTTTCCTGTAGTCGCTTCTATGTGTATTGTTGTTGCTTTCTCATATCTAGTTTCCCAAAATTTAGCACATTTGTCTCTCTCGTTCTAGTTTTATTGTTGTGGTTTACTCTTATCTAGTTTTCATTTGTTTTAACATATATGTTTTTCTCCCTTGGATACATTTTTCGTTAGCCAGGGGTTGTCAAGAAAACAGCCACTCTGTTCTTTAGGGTAGAGGATAGGCCGAAATACATCTCCCCTCCCCTCCCCTCCCCTCCCCTCCCCCAGAAAAAAGACCCTACCTCCGGGTGGGATATTCTGGACTCGTTCTGTTTGGTTTGGTTACATACCCGACTCAAAGTGGGATTTACTACGTTGGTTTGGTTTGGTCCAAAGAAAATTGAAGCAAAATAAAAATGATTGATGTCTACCTGTGACAGATTTGTCTAGATAATCCACCTCCCTAGTGTGCTCATCAAATACAACATTTTCCAGCACTGAAAGTATAACAAAAAAGAAACGAGTTTACATGTAAAATTCGAAGACGTTAGAAAACCTACAGATATAGAAAGTTAAAAGCACCATACCAGTCCCGAATTTAATGGCATTCCAGATATCAGGTTCTTTCTCCCTCGAAAGATCAATGCACTTGGCATAACAACCACCTTCGATATTTGACACACCCTTGTCACTCCAGCAATGCTCATCATCTCCAATCAAGTATCGGTTGTGATCAGTAGACAATGTTGTCTTTCCAGTACCTATTTTTTGAAGTAACAAACAGAATTTTATTAAAAACGATGAGAAAATGGAGCTACAATTAAACAACAGAATCATTGCCATCTTGTTGGAAATCAAATACAAGTCACAGAGAGAAAAAGGGGGTACGAATCCGGTGAGGCAGAGATTTGTGATGTGACCCATATATCAAATGATCCTCACCATTGATGATGAGGAGGCTTACCTGACAAACCAAAGAAGAGAGCAACATCTCCATCTTTGCCCATATTGCATCCAGAATGAAGGGAGAGGATTTGACGCATAGGCATGAGATAATGCATAACACCAAAGAGACCTTTCTTCATTTCCCCGGCGTACTGTGTGCCGAGGATGACCATTTCTCGTCTACCAAGATTTAAATCTATGCTAGTGGATGATGTCATGTAGTGTGTATAACGATTACAGGGAAACTGGCCAGCATTGTAAATAGTGAAGTCCGGAGTACCGAAATTCTCCAGCTCTTCAGGTGTGGGTCGGATGCACCTGCAACCTACCCAGTTATCCACACGCTTTTTTTTAACTAATTTGCACCATCATATTATCGCTCACCTTTACCTTTAGAAGTCACATTATTGAAAAGATAACATATTTGAAAAACATTAAACTTATCTGGAGGGGCTTTGACTTTTGCGTATCCGGGAATGGCAAATAGAAACACATAATATGAATCTGTATTTTTTCTTCTCATATACTTACATGTTGTGCATGAACAAAGAGTGGTAAGCTCTAGCAGACACAATTCGTACTTTGATTCGATTCTCTGGATCCCAGTTCAAGAATTGATCATTGACAAATACCTGAAAGTTCAATTAGGCAAACCATTAAGTGCCTACTCCCAGAAAGTAAAACTTTATTCAGGAAATTACTAGACCAAGAGGTGAACAAATCCATTTCTTTCTAATTAGGTTCTTCATATTTTACAGATGTAAAACATATGTCCTGGGCCACAAAGAAGCATATGCATACCTGTGCAATAAATCCCTAAGATGATATAAAAACCAAACAAAGCCGGTATATCTCACACAAAGATATATGCAAACTTGACCTCTACCGTAAAAAGTAAACCAGTTGTTTCCATGGACAATGTAATTACAGCAATGCAAATGGATAATTAATTGCTTCATGAAATGACAAAGATCGCCTCCCTAAAGGAGATCAATTTGGAACTTTCAAAGAAAGAGACAAAAAAAGATGCATCTATCCTTATCTCCACTCGCCAGTATCATCAATTCATGTCTATCATCTTCCATCCTTAATAATCACACTGTAGCCTATGCATCTTCCATCCTTAATAAAAGTGGGCACCTCATTTCTCTTCTTTATTGTTTTTCTTTTAAATACGATTACTTGAGGTGGATTTCTTTGTTTCAGATTTACATAGCTGATTGGACTTTTGTCTGAGATTAGCCATTTAGAAAAGAAAAATGTATTCAACTGTCTAAAACAGTAATAGAGCAACAAAGTCACGTCAGATTTTTAGTCCAGATGAGTAATTTGGCCACTGGAGAAGTTACAATCAAAATACCCATTTTGCTAAAAGAGTTAAACTTCATATCGAGTTTCGATCTCAGAATCAATAGTAAAAAGTAAAAAGAAGCTATACCTTGTCCAAGGAATTTAAGTAATCGACGGCTCTTTCTCTGTTAACCAAGAAGGTGTGCTCATCCATCTCGATATTCGGTGAACCCCTGTACCCATTTAAATTTACTCAACTTTCCAATTTATGATCAGAATCAATATGTGCAGAAAAACCATCGATTTCATTCTTTCAACCATACTCAACCAAATTTGAAGGGAGTGGATGGAAAAACATACTTTCCCCACCAGAGCTCATCCTCAGTGGTGTCATCCCTAACCACACGCTTATCCTTTGGAGAGCGACCAGTTTTGGCACCAGACAAGGTAGCCAATGCACCACTGGATGTTATGAACGACCCTTTCTCATACTTGATCGCCTGCTCATATAGCTCTGCACGTCATCATATATTTTATCAGAAACACAAAATTAGGGTTTTTTGGCATTGCGATCATCGTAATAGTTAGCAAAGTAAGTTTTAGAAATAATTACCGGCAGGAGAGAGATTGTAGAGGACATGGGTGAATTTGAGAGAACTGTCGCTGGCGGAGAATGTGGGGGCAAAATGGTGGTCAGGGGCGTGGGACACCCTGGGGGTTTCCGACTGTCTTGCCGGGTCTCCTCTTACCAACTTGGGTCCGGTTTCTCTAGTTAGCGACGCCAATGATGCACTGTAATAATCCAAAAGTAAAAAGTAACCTCAAAAATTTACCCCAATGTGAACCCAAAGCTTTTAAAGAAGGCCGAAAACACTTGCTATATTATTTTTCATGAATCAAGACAGGTGGAGTCACCTAGGGACATGAATCAATTTTTCAAGTCTATAACAAAAACTTGCTACATGTTTAAAAATATCAATTTATGAACCGAGTACTAGTAGATTTTATGTTTCTCGTATATTATTTTGAATTTGATATGTTCTTTTTTACTACGTGAAGAAAATTAAATGATAACAAATATTATTTAACAACTAATCTAGATTGAGAGTTAAAAAAAATTGTTTGACTATTTATTTGACATATAAAGATTAAAAAAACTAGTCATTTATCGACAAACTTAAGCTGAGATTTATAGAAAATGATATAAGAACATCATTTCTCAAAAGGGTGTTGTATGCACGTGCATGTATACATATGCATATATATGTTGCGACGAGGGATCGTGGAAGATGGAGAGTTAATGTTGGAAGCGTAAAAAGGGTATGGATTCTCGAACACCTTTAATCTCAAACTCATTCGTGAATCACACTTGATACGGGAATTGAAATGCACCTCATCAAGATGCATCTCATCATGACGTGCATCCATGGGTGAATATCCCTTCTTATACTTATCACAAGAACTCAATCTTATATATATACATACATATATATATATATATATATATATATAATTAATGATTTTGATATCACTATCTCTTAGAAACAAAACATGTTACCTTGAAGGAATAAAGTCATTAGCTTTGTACCATGTAAATTGGCATCAAATTTTCGGCATAAAAATTAACATGAATAGTAATAATTTCAAATAAAATAATTCTATTTTGATGAGGTATTTTTTATATTGATAACAACAATAAAAATAATCATAAACTTCTCATTTTTCTATTTATTATATATGCATGTATGCTAGGCCAATATACTTTGGACATTTTTCTTCATATATATAAACATTTTTTTTCTTTGAAGATTAGTATGTTGATTCTAAATGTTTTCCTATGGTATTAAAGTCGATATATCTAATCATTCTAGATTTCTAGAAATTCGATGCTCTCAACCAATCTATACTCTTCTAGCCCCTCTCATCCGTTTTTCCCTCTTGACTCTATGAGACAATTTGTACATGTCTACCCTCTATTTTTTCGGGAAAAAATGAGTTAAACTTTCACATCAACTAAATTTGAACTTGTCCAAAGCTCCTCTAAATGACATATAATGTATATGACATATATGTTTTAGCTGCCTATCTAACTTTTCTTTAAATATGTTTTTCTAAAACATAAAATAATAATCTCTGCATCACAAGTAAATTGTCAACATTTCTATTTTAATTTGTTCCAAAATAAGTTACCACATTCAAAAGTAAATTTCCACTTTCTCATTTTACCTTTAATGGAGAAACTATATGTTATCAGTGGTAAAAGTGTTACCATTTARTTAATTAAAAATTATAATAATTACAAATTTCTAAATTTACGTCTTACTTTTACTATAGACATTTATTTTAGAATTGAGAATTTTTGTTCTTAAAAAGGTACAATTTTTAAATAAAATAGAAATTAATTTGTAAATGTACTTTTTGAGGTGGGCTAATGGCACCCCTAAGGTTTACCAATGGCACCCCTAA